GAGATTCGTCTGTCTGTTCCATGCTTCTGATTCTGTTTTATTCACCAGTTTATTTTGTTCATTAGATTTCTTGTTTGCTTATTTTGATTTCTAGATTCGATTGTTGACAGATATATATTTGTTGCCATTTTATTGTTCATATTTTTCATCTTCTCCTTTTTCTTAAATGATAACATTCAACATTTCATGTAATACTGTTTGGTGGTAATGAACTCCTTTAGCTTCTTCTTGTTTGTGAAGCTTTTAATCTGACCTTCAATTCTAAATGAGAGCTTTGCTGGGTAGAGAAATCTTAGTTGTAGGTCCTTACTATTCAATACTTTTAATATTTCTTGTTGAGAAATCAGCTGACAGTTACCTTGTAGGTAACTAACTGCTTTCCTCTTGCTGCTTTCAAGATTCTCTCTTTGTCTTTAACCTTGGCATTTTAATTATGGTGTGTCTTGGTGTGGGCCTCTTTGGGTTCCTCTTGTTTGGGACTCTGCACATCCTGGACTTGTAAGTCGATTTCTTTCACCAGGTAGGGGAAGTTTTCTGTCATTATTTCTTCAAACGGGTTTTCAATTTATTGCTTTCTCTCAGCTCCTTCTGGCATCCCCATAATGCAAATGTTGGTATGCTTGAAGTTGTCCTAGAGGCTCCTTACATATTTTTCTTCAGATTTTTGGGTTATTTTTTTTGCTCTTCTGATTGGGCATTTTTTGCTTCCTTATATTCCAAATCATTGACTTGATTCTCAGAATCCCCTACTCTGCTGCTGAATCCCTGTAAATTGTTCTTTATTTCAGCTAGTGGATGCTTAATTTCTGACTGGTTCTTTTCCATGTCATTAAAATTCTCACTAAGATCCTTGTAAGTCTCACTAAATCCCTTGAAGCTCTCATGAAGGTCCTTGAGTAAACTTATAACCATGGTTTTGAAGTCAGTATCCAGTAGTTTGCTTACTTCCATTTCTTTCACTTGTGACATGTTTGTCTCTGCATTTTGGTTGCTTCCCTGTTTGTTTCTATGTATTAGGTAGAGCTACTACATCTCCTAGAATTGGTAGAGTGGTTTTGTGTAGTAGGTGTCCTATAGGGCCCAGTGGCTCAACCTCCCTGGTCACCTGAGCTGGGCACTCTAGGTGCGCCCCTGTGTGGGCTGTGTGCACAGGCTTATAGTTGAGCCTTGATTGCTGGTGGCATCTCTGGGAGGAGTTGACTGCCAGGCCCATTGGCTGTGAGGACCAGCTGCAACTACAGTGGGAGAGCTGCTATGTAGGAGGCAAGGCCCAGCTGTGAAGCAAGGCAGGTTGGTGCTAGTGCTGGGTCTTGGGCCTTTTATTGATAGGTTTGGGGCATGCTGTCACCAACTGCAGCTTGTTTGAGAGAATTTAGTTTGGTGAAGCCTCAGCCAGGACAGGCCATTCACATGGAAAAGCTGCTGCAAATAGCTTGGTTGGGGCTGCAAACTGGATGGGGTGAGGTCTCAGGGAATCTTCAGGTTGGAGCTAACAGCGTGCTGCAGGCTGATTGAGACCCCACTACAGCTTCCAGTCAGCCCTGCAAGGGGAGATCCCAGCACAGGAACAATTACCCTTGAGAGCACCCCTGTCTGGAAGAAAGCTGCCCCTGAGTTCCTGCCCGGATGCCAGACAAGCCAGTTCTTTCCCATATGTGTCTGAGTCCCCCAGAGCCACCCATTGCTGGAGCTCACAGGTATCAAGTCAGAGTGCATTTGTGCCCCAGCTCTTTTTAAAAGGAACAGCTAGGTCTTCAGTAGCCTGTGTCTCTTAGCCACAATCCCCATTGGTTTTTATAGCCCACAGTAACAGGGGCTTCTCTTCCCAGCTCTGGAACCCTGGGTTGAGGGTCTGGTGTGGGGTTGGGACCCCTTGTTCTTCACAGGTGGTCTCCACAGAGATGATCTCCCTTCTCGTTAAAAAAGTGGCACACGTGCCCGGCAGGCGTGGCTCAATGGTTGAGCATCAACCTATGAACTAGGAGGTCATGGTTCGATTCCCGGTCAGGGCACAGGCCTGGGTCGCGGGCTCAATCTCCAGTGTGGGGCGTGTAGGGGGCAGCCAATTGATTATTCTCTCTCATTATTGATGTTCCTATCTCTCTCCCTCTCTGAAATCAATAACTTTATATATATAAAAGTGGCACACATGGGTGCCAGACCAGCCCGTTCGGTGCCTCCATCCCTCCTACCAGTCTCAATATGCTTTCTTTACTTTTCTAGTTGTAGAACTTCTATTCAGCCAGCTTTCAGGTGGTTCTGAATGGTGATTGTTCTGTTTTTTAGTTGTAATTTTGATGTGGTTGTGGGAGGTAACGAGTACAGGTGTTTACCTACACCACCATCTTGGTTCCTCCCTGATTGGTTTAATTTCTGATCGTGACTTTGTCATCAGTGGCTTGAAGCCAAACAGTGTGCAAGGCTGGGCAGGAAGGAGCACGCAAACCTTTACCTGGAAGGAAGCTACAAGCAAGGACTTTGTGATACTTTGAAATAATCTGAAAAATATTACCCTACATTTACCTGCTTTCCTGTCAGATGCAAAATGTTAAGAATTCTTACATAAAGTGTATAGATTTGACTGTGATTGAGGCAGAAGGATAGAAGGCAGAGCTCTCAAGAGGACACCCCCCTGCCCCTCGCCTCAGGATTTTTTGTGGTTAGTTTTTAGAATCTCCCACGTGAGCAGACTCAGGTGTTTGGGATTGCAAATCTTGCTTTGGTCTCTTTCCAGCCATGAGGCCTTGTTGAGAAAAATTTTCCAATCTCTTTGGACTTTTCATCTCTACATAGGACATATCTAATTTCCATAACAATACCTTTTCCAGAGGACCTTCTGGGGTTCTTCTTCGGAATTTCTTTAAGGCACATTTCCTGGAAAGGAATCCAGTGACCAGCCTTAGCAGAACCCCTGAGTGTTAATTCTGGAAGAATTATATCAACGAAAATGCAAATTCATCTCAACAAGGTTGCCCAACATTGCACAACTGCTTGCCACCCCGAATCAGGGTTTTATTGTTGGCAAAAAGGAAATGATCATGGTAAAGCATTTTCTTTTCCAAATGAAAATAGTTCCACAGTCTTGTATTTGAATGACCAAAGGAATTCTTGCTCAGTGTAAACAACTCAGAAAATAGGGGAGAGTATAAGGAAGAAAAACGAAAAGTAATGGTAATTCCAGCACACATGAAAAGCAATGGTGATACCAATACACAGGAATAACATTCCTGGGAATTCTCCATAATTGGGGATTTTTTTCCTATGAGTACCCACAAACGCGCAGTTATACTACATACATATATTATATCCACATTCATGCTATATTTGCATTCATACAGCTTATATTTACATTGGCACAGATAATAATATATAACATAAAATTAATTACATGTAAAAATATATCACATTATATTTTTTCCACTCGCGTACACTCAAGACTGTATTAACGACACTGGGAACCCCTGATTACACCTAATTGGGGGTGGGGAAGGAACCCGGCCAGAGCGGAAGCCAGAACACTCGAGAGCAGTCAGCTCGAGCATATGAACTACAAGTCCCAGCAGCCCAATTCGCGGGCCGGGCGACCAGAGTCTGTAGAAACTACTAGTACCGGCAAGCATGGAGCAGACGCCGGGACTACAAGTCCTAGAATGCACTGCTCCCGGATCGCGCAGGGCCCTCCGGGATATGTAGTCGTTGGGGGAGCTAATTTCTATTCCTTCAATATCAAAGAAAATGCAAATTCCTCCAACGGCCCACCAACGCGACTTCTAACCGGCAAGCGAGAAGCCCGGGCGCACCATAAGGAAGTAAAAACTCTTCGGGGTCCCAACTGTGGCGCGGGAGCAGGACGCGTGCGCATGCTCGGCGGCTATGGGCGCGGGAGATGG